ATAAGAGGTTGGCCCCTGGGCCCAGCACTTAGTGGAAGGGAACAGTCACAAACAAAGCAAGGTCACAGCAGCTAAAATACGACAAGCTTACTCTGTGACGTTTTGCACCTACTAAGTGATTCTTGAAGAGCTCTATGAGGTTGGCACCGTCTGTTTTGTGGATGATTTGTTAGTCAGCTTTTTATTGCTGTGAGCAAAACACCTAACGGTAACAACTTAGAGGAGGAAAAGATTATTGTGGGCTCATGATTTCAGAGGTTCAGTCCACGGTTGGCTGATTCCATTGCTCTGGGCCGGAGTACGACAGAACATCATGGTGGAAGGGCGTGGCAGAGGGAAGCTGCCATTGTGGTCGGGAACCAGAGAGAGAGGGAAAGCAAGGAGCCTGGGACAAAATATATAATCCCCAAGGTCACGCCCCCAGTGACCTACTTCCTCCAGCCATGCCCACCTGCCTATGTTATCACCCAGTAGTCCTTTCTGATTATTAATCCACCAATGGATTAATCCATTGATGAGGTTACCACTTTCATAATCTAATCATTGAACCTCTGAAATCATGAGCCCCAAATAATCTGAACATTCCTGCACTACCTAACACATGAGCTTTCCAGGGGACAATAGGCCATAACAGATGGATAAAGTGAGAGTGTTTGGGAAGTTGGTTAGTCCACATAGCTAGTAAACATGGAGCCACGATATTTGCGGGACTCCACAGCCTGTATTACTAACCACTACATGACCCCCATCAGTTTACATAGTCATTAACTGTCTCAGTCCATTCCAGTTGCTATAACAAAATATCATAGAGTGGGTATCTACACACAAGAGAAATTTATTTCCCACAGTTCTGGAGTTTGGGAAGTGTAAGATCAAGGTGCTGGCAGATTCAGTGTCTGGTGAGGGGCTGCTTCCTGGTTCACAATGGTGCTTTCTTGCTGTGTCCTCACATGGCAGAAGGGGCAAGGGATCTCCAGGACTAACCCAAGCATGAGGGTTCAACCTTCCTGATCTGAGTGTCTACCTAAGGCCCTGCCTCCTACTGCTGTCACTTTGAAGGTTAGGATTTCTACATATGGATTTGCATGTAGGGAACACAGCTCAGGACGGACTTGAGTCCTGATTCTGCAATGTTCCCGCTCAGCTTGAGTAGAGCCTGAGATGGTTTTAGGTGCAGTTGCTTTCTCAGGAAGCCTGTGGCTAACTAAATACCAGTTCATATAATCTTGAGGAGTGGTAGCCAGCTTGTCAAAGGGCTGGAACATGTCTTTTGTTGTTCTTGTGCTTTTACAACCCTTTATTTAGGTGTTAATATTCTGCTGCATAACTTTCTTTCATGTGATACTAAAGAATTCAGGGCTTGAATTTTTTTTTGTTTGTTTTTTTCTGTGACCCCATCTAGCAAAACTGTGCTAAGAAAATTCCCCCAAGATTCACTTGCTATTGATTTGTTCTTCATGCCATCCCTAGCTCCCTGAAGGCAGTAATACAACAGAGCAGAGGGTGGGGAACTTTTTCTGTAAAGGAACAGTTACTAATTGTTTCAGGCTTTGCAGGTCACATGGTTTCTGTCCAAAATTATTCAACTTGGTGCGATAGTCAAATAAGCATGAGGCTGTGTTCTGATAAAGCTTTATTTGAAAAAGTAGAGCAGATTCCAACCTTTGAGCCTTGGTGTGCCAACCCCCCCCCCCCCCCCCATTAAAGGCACACAATTCCTGGTTTACTTGTGATTTTCCAAGTGACAAGGTCCCAGTCACTTCACCCTTCCCATGTATTTCTGCCCCTTACTTTGAACTCAGGAAGGTGAAGACATTTATTAGACTGTTAAATTTAAGAAGAATTTGCTGGGCCTCCCTCCTCAACTTTGCCTTTTCCCTTGGCCACATCTGGTCCATAGGAACTGGTGTCCTGCTCTGGGACCCCTATCTGCTGTGGCTGAGTGGATAAATCAGCCCAACTCTAGCCTGTTCTGAGCTGCAGTGTCTTCACATCCATGTGCCCAGAGTCCTGCAACCTGGCTCTCATCTCTGACAAACATACATCTCGTCCCTCTTGTGTTTGGTCTTTTTTCATAGTTCTTCACAGCATCGAAGTGGCATTTGGCAGAACCCCTCAGAATAGTGTGTTCTGAATTTTTACTTTATATCCAAAAGCCAGACCAATTTTTTATTCTCTTAAAAAACAGCATAGATCTTGAGACATCAAGACTCTTTACCTTCTTGGCTATTTACCTCTTATTGTGTATTAATGTTATTCATTAATCATAAATTAATTGGCTATCATACAGTCATTGCATTCTTAAAAGGCAAAATATATTTAACAAGTGAAATTATTTACATATAACAGTTCTTTTTAAACATTGTTCTGGGGGGGCTGGGGCTGTAGCTCAGGGGTAGAGTACTTGTCTAGCACAGGTGAGGCACCATATAAAAAAATAAATAAAGGTATTGTGTCCATCTACAACTAAAAATATATTCTAAAAAAGCCACTATTCTTGGGAGGGAAACTGAAGCCCATGGCCTTGAGGCTGGGAATCACAGCTCTAAACCCTAGAAGAGTCAGCAACAGGACTGTAAGGACAGATTTGATGGCAAATACCTACTATGTTCTACCTGTCTGTCCTTCCACATGGCTCAAAGGCAAGCAGAGGAGCTGCCATTACAAGAGATGCTCTCAGGTGCAGGCTGGGCCTATGGTTGCTGTCCTGGTGTGCGATGGCTGCAGGAAGCACTGTACACTGGAAGCTTCAACAACAGAAGCATATTGCCTCACAGTTCAGGCAACCCGAGGTGTGGGATGGAGGCGTTGGCAGGGTTGGCAGAGGCTATGTGGGAAACCCTGTTGAACCGTCCTTCTGTGGCCTGCACATGGCCTCTGCCCATATCCCTTCACCACATCTCCCTCTGTGCATGTTTGGTCTCAGTCCCAATTTCCCCTTTTCATAATGACGAAAGTCATAGGGCAGTAGGGTCTACCTCAATGACATCACTTAAATTTGATTACCAATGTAGAATCCCATCTCCAAATCAGGTACCAGGGATTAGAACTCCACGGAAATTGTAGGCGACATCCTTCAACCCCCAAAACCAGGAACAGCTGTTTCTGTCTGGAAGGCTAAGTTCCATGGTGTACCCTGACACTTTATGTGTGTGAAAATATGCCAGTGTGCGCAGACCTAATTTGGATGAAATTTATTTGGGCTCTGGGACTGTGGGTGGGATGGAGGAAAGGAATAATGTGTTTTGAGGGAACACCTAAAACTTAATGAGTGAATGACCTTCCAAACGCACACCTGGTTAATGATACCCCTCTTGCAACCAGGATAGCAAAGATAAGGAATGCCAGGTGCTGAGCTATCTCTGCAGGCTGAGGTCCCAACCAATGTCCCTTTTCAATAATGACACCCTGCATCCTGTATCCTGAGTAATAAAACCCTGGAGACATCTAGCACCCACGAGAAGAAAGGAATAGATGGCCCCTGACAAGGTCTGAATTTGCTGCTGTTGCTGTGTGGCCTTAGACCTGCGGAGCCTTTCACTAGGCATGTGGAGTTTGGGGCCAGGCCAGAACCTGATGCCAGTCCAGCTCTCAGCAGGCTATTGGCTAGATCGCCCACTTGTTTTGGGGGGCGGGACATGCAGGTGGCAGGAGGTTCCCATGCTCTGGACCCTGTAGGCATTGTCCCTGGGTCAAGGATTTGTTTCCACTGCTACTCTGGACCCACCTGCCACAAACAGACCCTAGTCACAGATTTTAGGGGTCCAGACGCCTAGGAGCTTTCTCCCTTCCTGGAAAAGCACTCTTGGCTAACTCACCCTTGGCTAACTCAGTGAGGATCCTTCATTCACATCCCTCCACGCCCCTCCACCCCACTCCTAGTCCTTGCTGGGAACATCCCCTCACACATCAGGTTCTGTCTCTGTCCAACTTCCTCCCCAAGGGACTTCATCTTACACTGATGGTCCTTTGGGGTTCACCTGCCTGGAGGAGGAACAACCTCCCTCTCCTGCCCATTAGCATACAGCCCTCTGGGTCTTAGCAAGCCTTGCAAGGCACTGCCCTTCGGTGAAGCCCTGCACCCGGCGCCCCACCCACTGACCCTGACAACAAAGCCCCGTTCCTCCTGGGCCCTGATCCCCAGTGCAATGCAGCTTGCCCTCTGCACCACCAGAGGACCAGAGGAGAGCGCAGCCCCAACGCTGCCCACTGGGCGACCCTGCCTCAACGATATCTCCTTGGCTGTGATCTCACTCCCAAGGCTCCAATGGTACTGTGAAGGCCCTCCCCAGGCCGCAGCCTTGAAGCCCCCGCCCAGATCCCGGCAGTGAAGCGCCACTCCAGGACCCTCTCTGTAGTGAAGCCAGGTCCCCGTCACCATTTCCTCAGCAGCGAAGCCCCTCCTGAGGGCCCCTTCCAGACCTAGAGTTCCCGCTCTCTGATCCTGAAGACCTACCCGAAACCCCTCCCCGGCAGTAAAGCCCCACCTGGGTCACCTCCTCAGCAGTGACGTCCCGCACCCGGACCCGCCCAGCTGTGAAGCCCCGCCCCTCGCTCCTCAGCGGTGACGCCCCGCTCCAGGCCCCTGCCCAGCTGTGAAACCACGCCCCAGGCACCCGCCCCAGCTGTAATGCCCCATCCCGGGACCCCGCCCAGCTGTGAAACCCCGCCCCCGGACCTCGCCCAGCTGTGAAGCCCCGCCCCCGGACCTCGCCCAGCTGTGAAGCCCCGACAACCATGAAGTCCCAGCTCAGGCCCCCGACCAAGCTGTAACGACCCGCCCCAGGCGCGCTCCGCAGCAGGGACGCCCCGCCCCAGGCACCCCCGCTCAGCTGTGAAGCCCT